ATGATTTGGGGTTAAGCACCTAGGCATACTATACCTTAGAACTTGATACACTGAACCACTATAGTGTTCCTAAGAAACTTTCAGAATGGGAATGGCGGAAAATCACTCGCGAACCTATATTGCAAAAATTACAGAAAGATTTAGAAAGGTTGCCACCTAGAGTGGGGTACTCTGTCGAACTGCCAACCAACCGAAGTTGAAACTATCCCGCTGAAGTTTGTGGGCACCTGTATTAATGACCGCACGCTGATTTACGTAAAGAACCTTGAGATGTTGAAAGTCTTTGTAATCAACTACGTTTCTTACCTGTAAATTGGTAGTAGAATTGAAACAACAGAGAACTGTCCCCGAACTTATTTGCGATTATTTCTATTCGCATATTGAATCAAGATTGTTACGTGTGAGAAAAAGACATAAAAACAATAAGCGGAATAGTTTCAAAAAAATATTTCAAAATTTTGTTAAAACTATTCTTCTATTCATTCTTCAATCGCACTGCATGTCTCATTCTTAATAGTTTTTGGGATAAATTATCCCCTAAATTCCCAACTCCTAAGGTGCAGCTATGAGTCGGTGTAACTAGAATCACGAAAGACTCGTAGTGGTGCTATCGCATATTTTAACCGTTGACAAAATTTCACAAAAATGCCATACAAGTGGAATAAGTTTGTGTTTTGATCTTTACAGCAATATTAACTAAATCTAAGTTTTATAAATTTGTGACCTTAACCTCCACTTGAAGAAGTCCAGAGGTTTTAGCGAAGTAAAACGATAATGACTTGAAAACTTCTATACTACATCTAATATTATGATTGTTTTAAGTGAATTGCTGCTGAACACCTATACAACCATTTAACTTGAACATCATCTGTTTATGCTGTCAAATAATCCCCCGTAGGATGTTTTACAGTCGACGTCGACCGCTGCTCCAGTTTCTCGTCAACAACACGTAGACGATGACTCTATTTCCTATCATTCCATTTCACTTGACGATTGCGCAGCCATGCCCGAGTGGGACGATGAGGTATGTCGAAGGTGCAAGCTCTTGGATTGCAACGATGAGTCGTATATCAATCGTAGCATTGGGACTTTGGCGCCTCGTTCCTGGCCGATCTGGATTCTTCCCATGTGTGGAATGACACATTGGAAAGACAACACTTTGGCCCGTTAAAAGACCTCGTCACCACCGGTGGTGGCAAGGCCGATGGTCATAGTTTTGTGTAGGTTTTCAACTTATCAAGCTAAATAAGCTAAGTAATGCTATCATATACAGATCTATAACTCTAATGCACCCTACATGGTGTGATAAGTGTGGCGATTTCATCTGGGGTCTGCTGAAACAAGCATCTAAATGTGAAAGTAAGTTATTTGATGCATGAAGATTCCGATTAATTGCAAATATTCATCATTTTTTGTGCTCTTCAGACTGTAATTACACCTGTCATACCCGATGTAGAGAGCTGGTGACATTGGAATGTCGATCAGCCGGTTCCTCACTTTCATCTGGAGAGTTCCCTTCTATGTATCCCAAGCTCCTTGACGGTACTCTAGGAACGATACCAAAGGAACTCCACCTGCCGCCTATCCCCTTGTCACCATTTAGTGATTCCGACAAAGAGAATGATACTACCAGCGTGGAAGTGGGTTTTTTTGCAGTAGATTTTAACTCTTCAAATTTCTCTTAGTTTAG